GGGTGGGGGGGGGTAATAGGACCTTAGTAAAGGTTAGGTGTGTCTCAGGGATTTTGGGCATAGGCTGGGGGGGTACTTATGCATTTTCCTTTTATTTTATTAACTTCTAATATTATTATCTCAGTACATTCACTTGGAGGTCGTGAAATTGGTGTGTCACAATTAGTAGTAAGACAAAGTAAGAAACCTCATTAGACATATTTTATAAAAAGGAACTCAAATCGTATTTTTAATAGTATTTAAAGAAATAATATACTCATTAATACGAGTTACACGCAAAGCGCATTCCCAGAAACTAGTATAAAAAAAACGAGAGTTGTAACACCCCATCAAACAAAAATATAGGTACACAATACAAATATAAAAATAACTATGAAATAAGTACCAAAATTAAAGAAAATCGATTGATAAATATCTTTAGTCACCATTTAAATAGCCAAGATGCCGATAGAGTATTTGGAACTTGTAGGTGTAATATACCATAAATACAATAATTATAGTTGAAAATAAAATGACAAAAATGATCAAACAAATCATTCAGGCTAAGACGCGGATATCTTGCTTTCTTAAACGAGATTCAAGCCCACTGCGACATAATCTACATTGATCTAACAATATCACTCTGGACTTGTCCCCTCTAGAATACAACTGCCCCACAACATTGCACAACTCAAACAACTCTGGAGTAGTTGAAGAGTCCAAAGCTCCACATAAGAGCACCTTCCTTCAACATATAAATACTCACTTTTATATAGTAATATAGTTGAAGTCTTAGAATATCTTTTTTGTCTTAACTCTCTCTTTCAGTACTACATACTACAATATTTTTTCACACTTAACATATTCATCTTCTACCCAACACAAAGGAAGATGCACCATTATTTATAGGTAAAAAAGTCTTCCATGTAATCAATGGGTAGAATGAGGGATATAATGTGGGTAAATAAATGTGAAAGATATTACATAAGTTATAAGAAACTAATGGTCACATGAGTTACAAGAAACTAATGACCATGCATGAGAGTTATAAGAACTAATGGTCATACTCCCTCCGTCCCTTTTTACTTGACACACCTATTAAGAAAATAATGATTGGAGTAGTGAATTTACTATTTTAACTCTATTAATTGATGGGGTCCCAAATATATTTATTCGCTACTTTTTTCAAAAACATTAACTCAATGTTAATAAATTGAGGGTATAATAGGAAAAAGAAAATTGTCTTTCCTTGATTTGTCAAAAAATGATCAGTAAAAAGAGAAATCAAATTAAAAAATATTTGACAAGTAAATAGAGACGGAGGAAGTATAAGTTACAAGTACTAATATTCATCTTTTACCACAATCTATATTTGCTAACATATGTACCTAATATTTTATTTTAATAATAAAATGCATATACACCAACAAAACTTATCACTCTACTAAGGCTCTTCACACAAAAGTAACTTTTGCTAAAACTAAAAGTTGAGCAAAAAATTAAATAAGTAAAAAACTAAAAAAGAAGCCTAGCTAAATCGATTCTTTCACATTTTGGAAATTAAATTAATTTAAATAGAAGAAATGCGATTAATTTATAAAAATAAATTAAATTTTAATTTGATTTCACAGTGATTTCAGTCTATAATATTTTTTTTCAGCGTGTCTTGGGATCGGAAAAATGTGAATCATAGACATATGATCCATGTAAACGGTCTTCACAATTGAGTAGTTAAAGATTCTTTAGTTCAAATAATTCAACTTTTTATATTAACCTAGCTAAATCAATAGTTTCACATTTGGAAATTAAATTATTATTTAAATAGAAGCAATGCGGTTAATTCATAAAAATAAAAAGAGGAAAAGAAAATAGAAATTCCCCACAAAAGTTATTTTCTAAAACTTCCCGCCAACAATCTGATCCCGGAGACGAAATTACCCCTGTCTTATTACCAAGACGCAGCGTATAACCAAAGGGTAAAACCATAAATATCCTTCAAGGATTTTTTTTTTTTTTTTTTTTAGTAAATATCCTTCAAGGAATAACGAACTTAGCAACAACTTTTTTTCCTCTGTATAGTAGAATTCACATTTCCAAGTAGAATTGGAAAAGGAAAAGGGAAAGGCCTAAATAATTTAATCCCAAATAGAATAACATTAGGAAATTAAATTAGCATTATAAATATGTATAATCTGAGAAAACATTAAAGCATCAAAGGTTACTCAAACCTTTTCATAAGAAAAACTCATTCATAAATAAATTAAGTATGTACTGGAAAAAGCTTAAGTTGTTGGGCAGGGGTTCTTATGGTACGGTGTCTCTTGCCACTCCATTAACCGATTACTATACATTATTTGCTGCTGTCAAATCCGCGGAAGATGATCGCTCGTCTTCGCTCCGAGCGGAAGCACAAATATTGCATGCGCTGAGAGGGTCGGACTACGTAATTAAGTGCTTCGGAGAAGATGTAAGCATCGAAAACGGTAAAAAAACTTATAACCTTTTGCTGGAGTATGCTGCTGGTGGAACTTTGCATGACTTAATTCATAAGTCGAAGACGGTGCTCGGAGAATCAGAGGCTGCGTACTATGCTTTTCAAATCTTAGTCGGGATTTGTCATGTTCATAGTAAAGGATTTATCCATTGCGATCTGAAACCAGCTAATATACTTGTTTTTCCTGGCGGACAACATGGCCTTGCAAATGTGAAATTGGCTGATTTTGGGCTATCGTTGAGATCTGAAACCAACACATGTTGGGACACATCATTGAAGAAGAGTCGTCGCCGCAGAGGGACTCTACTATATGCAGCACCGGAATCTGTAGTGTGTGGGATTCAAGATAAAGCCGTTGATATTTGGGCATTTGGATGCATACTTGTAGAAATGCTCACGGGAAAGCGGGTATGGTCAGAATGTAAAAATAAGAACGAATTAAAATTGAAGATAGCGTATGAAAAACCAGAGATACCAAATAATATATCTAATGATGCAAAGGACTTTCTGAGTAAGTGTTTGGACAGAGATCATAATTGGAGATGGAATGCGGAGATGCTACTTAATCATTCATTCATCACGAAGTATGTTAATAAGAAGATGATTCATGAGTTGATCCAGCGGCCTTTTGGTGATGCAGGACTCAAAACATTGGTTTCTTTGGAGCACTTATTTACAACAACTAGTTTCTATTATCCTCATAACTCCTACTTGAGAGAATCAAGCAGTATTATTACCAGCCTCCCTGAGACTAATAATAATAACGCAACAGGAGACGAGCCTCTACTATGGATGAATTTCAGAAACTTACATATATAATGAAGCTTACTACTCATCCCTTTTTTCATCTTGGGTGTGCAATTCTTCAACAGACCTCAACTACTGAAGTGAAGACTGACTCACTCTTCAATAAACCTCAACTACTGAAGTGAAGACTAACTGGCTGATTAGGAAGCTAAGCTAGTATATGCATAGTTGGTAAATATAACCAATTTGTAATCAAATTAATGTGATCTCTTAATTTTTAATCGAAAACAATTTATATATATGTTAATTATACAAAGATGGTATAGTGCAAATTCACTCGAACATCACCTAATACCTATTTTGATGGAGGTAACAAGCATAGGCAGATCTACGATATCATAACCTATGAGTTCACGTGAGCCCAATAGCTTTACCCAGAGACTTTATATTTGATTGTGAACACAGTTATCACAGTGTGGTATGAATAGACTCCGTCATACTAATATTATTAGCATAGTAGTAGCTACATGTTGGGTTATCCTATTGTAGTTCCTTACCATTAGGTAAAATCTATGCCTACACTGGCACATGTAATTTCATGGCGATAAACTAAAGCTGTCTGAAGCCAATATTTGATATCACGATATTTGTTTGGAGATCTCTTTTAAGAGATACTAGTAAAATTGAACACACCTTGATTTACCACGATGTTCCAAAGTCACCAGTAAATCACAATCTGCATAAGGACAATTGTCCAAGTTATTTCAAAAAGTTCCCGCCAATGACCTGAGCCTGGAGACGAAATTACCCCGTCTTATTCTCAAGAATCAGTTATAACTGAAGGGTAAAACCGTAAGTATACCAAAAAACTGTTCATAACGAACTTAGCAAAGACACTTCTCTGTAGGTATAACAGACTATAAAGAGAGCTCTGTTTCGTTCTCTCAGCAAAAAAAGGAAAAAAAAAAAAAAAAAAAAGAAGAAGAAGAAGAAGAAGAAGAAGATGAATTTCTCAGGTATGAAACTTCGGGCCATAAATGGTGTGAAATCTTACTTCAATAGGAGTTGGAACTTCGACGACATGATGAATATTGATGAAATTCCCCATGAAGTTCACACAAGATTGAAGAAGGTACATACACATTCATCCAAACACTTCGATTCTTTCAATTTCCTTCTACTTGAAATTACTCTGAGATTTTTCTTTATTGTAATCTGGTTAGTAGTACGTAATAGCCAATCAGAAGATGATCATATGCTAAAAATCCCCAATTCTTATATTGTCATCATTGATGAATTTCGATTCTCAGAAGATGTTTAGGTATTGCATTATTTTATTATGTCTTCATGATTGATGAATTTCGATTCTCAAAAGATTTTGAAGTTTGCCGTTTTTCTCCTCTTCGTTTGCACTTGCTAATGTTGTTTGAGTCGAATTTTACTTTAAGATATTAATTTCACTAATCTTCATTTTTTAGCAGTTTGATGAACTTAAATTCTTCAAAGTATGAATGATTGAACGGTGTCAAGCATTTTCTAACATCCCAAAACTAAAGTGTATCAAATAAATTGGGACGGGGATTTAATTAATTTGTTATAAGCAATTTCAGATTTCAGCTTCTTGTGATTGATTAGTTTTTTGTTGTATAGGTGTATCTTACTCTTTTCTGTGCCATGTTGAGCTCTGCTTTTGGATCCTATTTGCAATGGATCTCGATAGCCGGAGGGAAATTCACAGTCCTTTCTTGTGTAGCAAGTTTAATCTGGATTTACTTCACTCCACCAGGGAGACTGGTATGTATGTGATCAATGACTCGTATATTTTGTTGAATTATTCTTGAAGTCGCTTCTTATAATTTAAATCTTATGTCATATGCAGAAGACGAGAGTCTTACTCTTGATGTTGGCTGCCTATTCATTCGGTGCTTCTATTAGTGCTTATATCAATTATCTCTACAAAATCGAGCAATGGTAGGACTCAAAAGATACTAAGACTAAGCATTGCTTATATATCTGTTGTTCAAGTTTTCTTTTTTACTGCTTTCTTGTCATATCATAGTATTAAGAACCTGTTCATATCGCGGTTTGTTCTCCAGCTAAGTTCTCAAACTCTTGTTAGGTGACACAATGGTCTCTGGAAATTTCTTGTATAGAGCCACCAGAACAAGGGAAAGGATGAAAATCTACTACAGTTGCCTGCCATATTGCTTTGTTCTAATGATCTCCGGAATTTCTTCCATTCTCTTGGACAGCAAGAGCACAGCATTTTGGGTGATAAACGTAAGCATTTGTATGCATACAATGTAATCACAGTCATTTTGAACTTGTCTCTGTCTAATGAATGGATTTTTTGAATAGATACACACTCAGCAGATGTTGTTCATGGCGTTCCTTGTGATATATAGCCAAGAGATACTGTTCAATGCTAACTTAGGAGATATTGACTTCATCAACTGCACGTTCACCGCCTTCTTCCATTTACCGGGCATAGTGATCCATGCTGCTGCAAGACTATACCTGCAGGATGCAGAAATTGAGCAACACAATTAAAGCTGATGCACCTTGGAAGTATAGAATAAATAGAAAGAGTAGAATATACACCTCACTGTAAATGATGAACAAATATTCTTTTGTATGATTGATTAATTACCTTACACCATACAAAATCTTGAATAGAATGAATACACATAATTGTTCTTCAATTCCATCTTTCTTCTTCTTCAAGAAAGTGCAATAATTGAGTTAACAATAGAGTAGAGGTTTGAAGACAAACCCTAAAGAATAAGGAAATAAGTTTAGGTCAGAATAAGTACGTACTTTGAAAAGTTTAATAATGCAATTTATGAGGCATGACATCAAGTCATCCCTTAGAAGAAGTTTTAAAGATTTGGGTCAATAATCTAAGGAAATACGGAGATTGACAATGATGTTAAACATATTATTGGAACGAGAAGGATGAAATAGAGTCTATCATTTTGGAGCCTTGTGTGATAACTTAAGCATGCAACATTCAACACACCAATTGAACTTTGAGGAAAAGAAAATCTTCGACGTCAAAAAGAATCAATACAAATAGTAGCTGATAAATTAATCCCTTTTTACTTGTCTTGTTGGATACTAAGGAGTTCAAAATTTTAAAGACGGGTAAAGTTTAGGTAAAATGATAAAAAAAAAAAAAAAAAAAGGCTGAAATCATGCATTTAACATATCGACGTTAGTTGACCATTAAACAAGAGGATTCCACCAAATTAGCATATTTTGTTTGAATGTAACACAAAAGGGCATTTCATGGTATGTATCCCTTTAGAAACAAGAAAACTTACATCATTTAAAACAACCCTCTTACATAAGTAGTTCACTGTTTTAGGTTCCTAATTAATATCTTCATTAAACTTAAACAATCTTTTTTTTCAATCATTAAACTTAACCACTCTTCACTCTCCAATCAAAGATTCGTCCACATAAAACCTCTGACCATTTAGATGACTAGAAAATTCACAATCCATACTTTGAATAAAATTGGTTGATATATCTAGTGGCTAAATTACCCTCAAAAGTCTAATTGTTGCCTGTAACACCTCACAAAAATTCTATACTAAGGGTCTGAACTATTCGTCTTAAGAATATAAACTTGAATCGAGCGATGTCCTACTTCTACATATGTGTTAAGGTTCATTCCTAGATGTCCTATTATGGCACGCACCTGACATGTTTTATGCCCGCTAACACGTCTCTGAAGCCTTTTAATAACCCTAAAGACGTAGTTCACCTTCCTAGTTCAAAAATTTACCCTAGAAAGAGAAGTTCTCAAGAAACTAACTTCCTCCAAGGTTCAGCCATCCTCCAAGGTAAGATTTGACCATAGAATTTCATAATTTCTTCATCTTAACACCAATTAATACCTTTTTACTCATGGAATTGATAGGTTTTCAAGAAAATTCAATTCTAAGGTTCACTACTAAAAAAACAATGAATACCGACCTAAAACTTACTGACTTCCATTGAAAGTCGTAATTTCCAACTTCTGCAAGTCAGTATTGTTAAAAAGAATAAAAAATAAAAAACACTTCAGAAGACTGCAGGAAGTCAGTTCTTATGCAAAAAAAAAAAAAAAAAAGATCCCTAGAGGTCGGAAGTTTTCCCGAAAAATTAAATTACAACAAAAATTGATCTCTTGAAATCGGTATTAAATGAATAAATAAATAATAATATTTTATTTGATCTCAATTAAATATAAAAAAAAATATTTTGAATAAATTTTAATAAAATCGTCTTTCGGAAGACGGTTTTATGTAAAAAGAAAAAATAAAAAAATTATAATACCGACTTTCGGAAGTTGGTAAAATTAAATACTATGTAATGAAATTAATTTTCTTTAAAATATTTATATAGTGACTTCAAGAGGTCAATATCTTTATTTTTATTAATTATTTTTATTAATACTTATCTCAAGTGATTGATAATACTTAGAAAATTTAAAAAAAATATATGATCTTATTTGAATTTAAAATGCAAAAAATTAATAAATTAATATTTTCAATTAACTTTAAAATAAACCGTCCTCCGTATGACGGTTTTGTGTAAATTAGCAAATAAATTAATATAAAATACCAACCTCCTGATGTCAGTATTATATAATTTAACATGATTACTTTTATTTATCTTAAAATTTAACGTGATTACTTTTATTTATCTTAAAATTTTATCTAATTACTTATAATAAAATCAACAGTTGGAGGTCAGTTTTTAAAAATATTTCTATTAATCATAATTTTGTTATTGTGCATAAAGTTAAATTTTCATTTGCACGCTTACAATTAATTGTTTTAAAAGGTGTAACAATTTTGTATACTTGTATAAAAAAAAAGTTAGAATTTGTGGAATAGACAAAGAAACATTGATAATTCATATTCAGAGTATGAAATTACGTTGATATTAATTAGAAGATAATTATATATTCCTAGAGTACTAATTGTAACAAATTCTATCAGTCCCTTATCAAATTATGAACTCAATATCCCATGTAATGCTGTAGTGGTGAAGAACTAACATATAATCCATATGAGTATGAA